CGACCGCCCCGCCGCCGCACTGCGCAGGCGTCGCCGGCCGCCGGTGGCCGAGGGACCGCGGGCCGAGGGCCGGGCGGCAGGCGGAGCCGGGGGCGGGAGGGACCCGCGCCGGGGAGCACCCCGGCTGAGAGCTATGTGTTGAAGCGGGTTTGGGTCCCAAGAGCTGGGATTACCGGGCACCACTGCCTAGAGCAAAACCCCTGGCCGGAAAGGTCGTTTCCCGACTTAAAGTTTGCATGACAAAAAAGCCGCAGGAAAGGAGCGGATCTGAAGGAGCCATAGAGTGATTTCTGGAAAACATCCAGAAGGTCCTTAACCGGCCCCACTCCTCATCACAGAAGAAAACGCGCGGCTGACACAAGTCCGCAGGGCAGGAAGGCCCTGGACAGCTGGGCCAGCGTGAACTCTAATCAGCTTTACTCCCTTCTGCCTCCTCTGACTCGGTTTCCTGGAATTGAGGGTCTGGGGAGACAAGTGCTCAGCAGTGGAAGAGGGCAGCTTGATGCTACACTCATCCAGAACTGGACAACTGAAGTGGGCAACAGGAACTAGAATAAATAAAAACTCTTATATGGTGTGGGTGATCACAGTCCTGTTCTGGATTCAAGGGCTCGGAAGGTGTGGGGTGGCCTTCAGCCTGAATGGTGGGGGAGGGGAGAAGGAAGGAAGACAGGGACAGGAGAGAGTTCCAGAATCTGAGAGCACAATCCTGAGAGTGAGCTCACTGCAGGCCCAGGATCCTGGAACTTGGGCTGCCTGATGGGCCCTATATGAAAGATGTAGTAGGGAAAAGGAGCGACAGCAGGCTAAAGGGCCCCCCCACAACCCTCCCGACACCCTAGGAGAGCAGTCTCTCTCCACTGGTCCCAGAGTGCCATGGAGATGGAGAGCGCGGCGGCTTCCACACGTTTCCACCAGCCTCACATGGAGAGGAAGATGAGCGCGATGACCTGTGAGATCTTTAACGAGCTTAGACTGGAGGGCAAGCTCTGCGACGTGGTCATCAAGGTCAATGGCTTTGAGTTCAATGCCCACAAGAACATCCTCTGTAGCTGCAGTTCCTACTTTAGGTATAACAGGGTTGCCAAACTAAGCCGAAGGGGTACTTGGGCCTATTCTGAGACATTTTGGTTCATTTCATGTTTCCCAACCTGTCACCTTACATGAGGGACACTGTCAAAACCCTGGGCTCCTGTAGCCTGGTTCCTTTGTCTTCCTGTGTCTCTTCTGAAGAGACACAACTGGGGCTGGGGCCTCTTCTCTCTGGTTTTCAACTGGATTCCAACCAACTATTGGTGGGCCAGGTGCTTTTTTCCCTTTGATTCTCACCCTAGCATACCTTTGGGAAGGCAACCATAGTGGATTTCCTACTTAAACCTAGAGGACAAGTGCCCCTTCAGCTGCCCTGTGTGCCCCATCCCAGTAGAGACCATCTCAAACAGGGTGATAAATTAACAAGGATTGAGGAGATGGGAAGGAGGATTCGGGAAAGCATCAAGGAAGTATTTACCAGAAGATAAAGGGAGTTTAGGCCACAACCACTGTCACCCAGGAAATGGCAGAGCTATTTTGTTCATGAGCCGAAAATGTTTGAGTAATCAATTCCGACGAACATATGATAAATGTGTCCCATCTGTTGCTAAAAATGCTCATTCATCTAGACCTACAACAGGGTCTACAAAAAGACTGGAGAGTGAATATTTTAAGGCCTGCAGGCCATACGGCCTCTGTCACAATGACTATACTTTGCCTTTATAGTGGGAGGGCAGCCATAGACAATACTAAATGAAAGGGCATGGCTGTGTTCCAATAAAATTATTTACGGACACAGAAATTTGAATTTATTACAATTTCCAGGTGTCACAGAATCTTTGTATTCTGTTCCCCCCATTTAAAAATGTGAAAAACATTCTTAGCTTATGGGCGGTACAAAAAAAAGAGGCGGGTCGAATCTGGCCCAGAGGCTATAGGTTTGTAGACCCCTGCTCTAGAGAAGAATCTGATCCATATTTCTTTAAACCACCTAGAAAAAGGAAGCAAAAATTTATTAGGGTAGGGACTTCTGTCCTGTTCAACAACTTAAAAAGTACCTAGCTATACAGTAGGAGCCCAATACATAGTTTTGGGATCGTAGTCATTTGTTCATTTGATAATTATTTATTGAGTGCTTATTTTGTGACGGGCACTATTCTGGGTACTGGAAATGATGAATAAAGAGAGAAATATTTCTGTTCTCATGAAGCTTACCTTCTAGTAGGAGGAACAGGCGTTCAGTAAATAAAACACAAAGCAGATTAAGTGCTGGGGGAGAAAAGGAAGGTATGGAGAGGAGGGTGGTGATTTTAAACAGGATGATCTCTTTGTGGACAAAATGACATTTGAGCAAAGACTTTAAGGGGATGTGGGAGTGAGAAATGAGGTCTGCAGAGGGGGAGCCTTCCAGGAAGAGGCAACAGCATATACAAAGGACCAAAAATGAAGCACCTCTGGGTGCATTCAAGGAAAGCAAGGCGAGTGGGACTGGAATGGAATAAGGGGGAAGGTGGGAGGAGGTGGCCAGAGGTATTACTGGTCCCGATCTCAGAGGACTTCTGTGCTCCCTGAGAAGCGCTTTGTATAATAATACTCTGAGCCAGAAGGGATCTCAGTGGAAGGTTCTGAGTGGAAGAGGAACATAAACTCGTAAGGAGGTTGGGGTAGAACTGTAAACTCCAGAGGCATCAACGGCAGAAGCAGGGGGATCAGTTAGGAGGTTACTCCCAATCATCTAGGTGAGAGATGGTGGTGGCTTGGACCCAGGAGATAGCAGTAAGAGGTGTGATCAGATTCTGGGTGATGTGTCAATTTAACAGTGCTCATTAAAAAAGTGTTACTGCTCGGGGCGCCTGGGTGGCGCAGTCGGTTAAGCGTCCGACTTCAGCCAGGTCACGATCTCGCGGTCCATGAGTTCGAGCCCTGCGTCAGGCTCTGGGCTGATGGCTCAGAGCCTGGAGCCTGTTTCCGATTCTGTGTCTCCCTCTCTCTCTGCCCCTCCCCCGTTCATGCTCTGTCTCTCTATGACCAAAAAATAAAAAAAAAGTTAAAAAAAAAAAAAAAAAAGTGTACTGCTCAAGTTTAATTTCCTGAAGGAAGGTAGACTTCAGTTGGGATAGAAGAGACCTAGGTCTTACTTCCAGGTCTAGAGCCCAATTTTTCCATCCACAAAACGGGGGAAAGTTTTAGTTACCATGAGGAGAAGAAGAGTGACCAAAGTCAAAGTGCTTGGCAAGGTTCTCTTGCCCACTGTATAAAGCACGCACTCTACCCTCCCCTTCCCCTTCTTCGCACCAATTTGTTTCCGGCATACTCACTGTGCACTAGCTGGGAAATTTCCAAACTCTCAACAAACAAAGGTGGGGGAGAAACTGGAGAGAAATGTTTCAGTGGCTACTAGTTTCTTTCTTCTTTCCAGAGCTTTGTTTACAAGTGGCTGGAACAACACCGAAAAGAAGGTATACAACATTCCTGGCATTTCCCCGGACATGATGAAGCTAATTATTGAATATGCATACACCCGGACCATCCCTATCACACCGGACAATGTGGAGAAACTGCTGGCTGCTGCAGACCAATTCAACATCATGGGTATTGTTAGGGGTTGCTGTGAGTTCCTCAAGTCGGAGCTGTGTTTGGATAACTGTATCGGCATCTGCAAGTTCACAGACTACTACTACTGCCCCGAGCTGAAGCAGAAGGCCTACATGTTCATACTGCACAACTTTGAGGAGATGGTGAAAGTCTCGGCCGAGTTTTTAGAGCTCTCAGTCAGTGAACTGAAGGATATCATTGAGAAAGACGAGCTCAACGTCAAACAAGAAGATGCTGTATTTGAGGCCATTTTAAAATGGATTTCTCATGACCCCCAAAACAGGAAGCAGCATATTTCAGTTTTGCTTCCCAAGGTCAAGTTTAGTTATTTTTTTGTGGGATGCTTACTTGCTCATGTTTGGTTCATTTATCCCGGAGGGACTGTGCAAAGAGCCACGTTCAGATGTTTGGCAGATTCCGGGGCCGTATTTACACACACTTACATAGAAGGCCATCTCCTACTATTCTGCGGAATTGTGCAATTTTCTTTGCTCTTGGCATTGCTAGTTCCTTCTGTTATATTCTTTGACCAAAATTCTCCCTGGTAGTGGGGGAAAGAGACGGCAAGGCCTTCAAAAGAATTCTAAAGGGCCTTCTTTTCACCCTTTTTTCTTGTGAGTTTCCCCAAACCCCAGGCAGAAGTGGGACTAGACACCAAACCACGAGTGTTATACACAATTGTAGCCATCCGGGGCTAATTTGTGTTATTTATACAGAGAAACGTAAATATTCAATGACTGAACAATTGCCACAGCCTTTTATGGTCTAATAGTACTGCCCAGCGGCCAAGGAAGGGGCTAGCTCTGTGACCTTCTATCTAGCTCATTGTCAGCATCCAAATGTATACCACATCTGAAAAACAAATATTTAAAACTGTGAGCTGTAAACACAAAGTAAACACAAGTAAACAAACACAAAGTAAAATAAGACCCTGCTGCAATTCAAAGGCAGACTGTAAACAGGGAGTTAAGGACATGGGTTTTCCAGGTACCTTCACCTCATCTGACTTTGTGTTTCCTTCTCAGGTTCGCCTGGCCCTAATGCATGCTGAGTACTTCATGAACAATGTTAAGATGAACGACTACGTCAAAGACAGTGAGGAATGCAAGCCAGTCATCATTAATGCCCTAAAGGCCATGTATGATCTAAACATGAATGGACCCTCCAATTCTGACTTCACCAACCCACTCACCAGGCCCCGCCTGCCCTACGCCATCCTATTTGCAATCGGTGGCTGGAGTGGTGGGAGCCCCACCAATGCCATTGAGGCATATGATGCTCGGGCAGACAGATGGGTGAATGTCACTTGTGAGGAAGAGAGTCCCCGTGCCTATCATGGGGCAGCCTATTTGAAAGGTTACGTTTATATCATTGGGGGGTTTGACAGTGTAGACTATTTCAATAGCGTTAAGCGTTTTGACCCAGTCAAGAAAACGTGGCACCAGGTGGCCCCGATGCACTCCCGTCGTTGTTACGTCAGTGTGACAGTCCTCAGCAATTTTATTTATGCCATGGGAGGATTTGACGGCTACGTGCGTCTCAACACTGCTGAGCGCTATGAACCAGAGACCAACCAGTGGACGCTCATCGCCCCCATGCACGAGCAGAGGAGTGACGCCAGTGCCACCACGCTCTATGGGAAGGTAAGAATTGGGAGGGGGCAGACCAGGCCCAGAAGTACTTGTTTGGGGGTGGATGGAAAATAGACGTGGCAGCACCCACGCTGCAGTACTGACTCTGCAACTAGTGCCCCTTTGTAACTGTCCTTTTAGGTTTTACTCACTAAAAAGCAATACATGCGGGGCGGGACACCTGGGTGGCTCAGTCGGTTAAGCGTCCAACTTCGGCTCAGGTCACGATGGTCATGATCTCACGGTTCACGGGTTCCGGCCCCACATTGGGCTCTCTTGTCAGTGCAGAGCCCGCTTCAGATCCTCTGTCCACTGCTCTCCCCCCCCCCCGCCCCGCCCCTTCCCCTCTCACACGCTCTCAAAATAAACATTCAACGAAAAAAGCGACGTGTGCACACGTGGGAAAAAGATACTCAGAGTGTACGGACTGGTATCAGAGGGGTCCCTTTGCCACCACCATGCGTACACCCTTTCTTTCTGCTCCCCAGAGGTAACGATTTTAATAACCATGGGCCCCTCGTCACACAGGTCTACATATGTGGTGGTTTTAATGGAAATGAGTGCCTGTTTACAGCAGAAGTGTACAACACTGAGAGCAATCAGTGGACAGTCATAGCACCCATGAGAAGCAGGAGGAGTGGAATAGGTGTAATTGCCTACGGAGAACACGTATATGCGGTGAGTTTATCTTGTACCACACAAAAACGATAGCTCTGGATTTTTTGTTCACAAATTGGTTTACACTATTATTGGCCAGCATTTGGAAAGCATTATTTTCCATGGAAAATAATGGAAAGCGGGAGGTATGAAATCACTGGTCGTCCCTCAGCACCCCCCCCCCCCACCACCACCAAGAAGGCCTGAAGGCCTCTTCCTTGGTGAACAGAAGCAATGGCTCACAGTCAACCATGTTTCCCTTGCCGTCCATAGGTAGGTGGCTTTGACGGAGCAAATCGACTTAGGAGTGCAGAAGCCTACAGCCCAGTAGCTAACACTTGGCGCACGATACCCACTATGTTTAATCCTCGTAGCAATTTTGGCATCGAGGTGGTAGACGACCTCTTGTTTGTGGTGGGCGGCTTTAACGGCTTTACCACCACCTTTAACGTGGAATGCTATGATGAAAAGACAGACGAGTGGTATGACGCCCATGACATGAGCATCTACCGCAGCGCCCTGAGCTGCTGTGTGGTGCCGGGGCTGGCCAACGTCGGGGAATATGCGGCTAGACGGGACAACTTCACAGGATTAGCACTGCGAGATGAAGTAAAATACTCCGCTTCGACAAGTACCCTACCTGTATGAGCCTCTTCATTTAGCTAATAAAGAGTCTAAGCAATAAGAATTACCTCTTTTTTTTTTTTTTTTTTTTTTTAATAAATGCAGTGTTTAAACTTGTAAGAGTACTGGAAAATGTTCAACTTAAGGGAGCCAAAGGTTGGATGAATGAGGGAGTAAGAGGGAAGGAAGTAAGCATTTGTATCCGACAGTGTATCATTAAAAGGGAAAAGTCACACGGTACAAACCAGCTCTAAAGAAATATGTTTATTTAAAACTTACATTGAGACAACTGATAGCTTCAACACAGAACAAGATAGTTTTAGGAACATAAAACAGGCTATTTTACAATGTGATGTCTCAAAAGCGTCCTAAATTCTACATCTCCTCTGACTTAAAGGGAGATAGCCAAGATTATACTTTGAGTAGAGTAAGGGCTTGGATACTGATAGCCCCCAAAAGTCACTGTGTATCAGCTTGAATATGTATTTTACAAATAACTCAGTGAGCCCTAGCACATGGACCATAGTCTTCAAACATCTAGCAAGCTTAATTTTTCACAAGTGCATTATGCAGGAGGATTAAGTGAACAAGTGCTCTACTGTATGTGCTTCAGTGTCAGACATTCGTAGTGATGCTCAGAGAGTAAGACAAAAGCCCTACGAAGGTAATCAACAAAGAGCAGTTATTTGGCTATCTAATTAAATTCCTTGAAGCGAGATGGCTACTATATTATGTTATTGTTATTGTATTATGTCACTCAACTATGAGCTGTTTGGTTTCCAATGACCAGAGCACGTTATAATGTAGGCATTATAACAACAAAAATGGACTATTCTCAAGAAAGCAACAAACTGGAGTGATGGACTGTGCCAAAATGTTTGATAATTAAAGGAGAGACCAAAGCGTTTCTCAAATATTCTACAGTTAAATGGCAACCTAGAAATACCCTATTTTGCTAATGGAGGCAGGGAACCTACTTCACAATTCTGTAGACTTTCAAAAGACAGGAAATGTGGCCAACACACCCTTTTAATTTAAGCTTAATTTGAGGAAAGTACAAAAAAGTCCCTTTATCTATGTTTGATTAGGCCAAGTAACTAAAATATATGTTTAGTTTACTTGTCTACCTACAGTACAGTGTCTCATTAGAATTATGAAGCAGAGAATGAAGTATTTAAACATGACATGCTACACTAGTCAAGAAACAGAGAAAAAAGAGTGCCCTAGAAACTGCCTTACCAGTAGCCTGAAGAGTTTAAAGAGCAAAAGCACACAAGTCTTCGATAAACACTATCTTTCCAGCTTCAAACTTCTGTTCTATGTATTTTAAAAGTTTTTGGTCCCAGCAATACTATATAAAACTAAGTGATAAAAACAAAACTGATGTCAATCAATTTTGAGATTTTTTTTCAGCAAAATATTTTTGAGTTGGCACAGCAAAAGCAAAGTTGGATATACAAGATCTACAAGACATCATGCAAACGTCTGCAAGTGAGATGTACTACTTACACACTAAGCTCATGACTGACATTCTCAATATACACCACGGGTTTGTTTTTTTAAAAACCACGGTGGGGTAGGTGGAGGTGGAGGACCTCCATTCCAAGATACAAGTCATGCTAGGGGTTAGGTAAAGGTATTACTTTTTGGTCCTCTTTTATCCTTCCACAAAACAAAAACAAAAGCAACAACAACAAAAGGTTCACTTGAATACATGTGAAGCTGTCTTTTTAGAAGTTTAAATGACCAAACACATTCTTTAAGTTTTTCATCAGAAAGGAAATTTCTTTCCCAAAGAGCCACTTTAGGCTGGTTGTCATAATCAAAACCTTTCCAAATACTCTGGAAGTTATTTCCAGTTTAGAATTTCAGAATGTCAGCCTTGAACAGATTTAAGCAAATCTGGTTTCCTTTCCTATTAACAAGTTAGTTAGGATATTTCAGAGACACAAGTTATTGATGTGAAGTCACACGTGTGAATTCAAATATGAAAATTAGAAATTCACTAATCAGGAAAACCTGCACACATCATCATGCAAGGAAGGACTTACCCCTTCTTTTCAGCCATGGCCTACGCTGCCTGCTGAGTTAAAAAACAACAGTTTCAATCAAGTTTTCAGAACCAGATTATACCTAAATCTTATGAGTTATAATTTGTCGCATCATGTGAAAAAAGGCCACCCTCCAAAAACTTGGTAGTGACAGTCTTAGAAGACAACTCAGAGATAAGATCCAAAAACCTTACATCACACCTCCTGGACAGAAACTGCCATTTTAGTGAGCTGCTGAGTTACTTCACCACTAAGAAGAGGAAGTTTGCTAGGCGGCATAGTCTATCAGAGACGAGAACATCACTCAACGAGCTTTTCTGCCTCACGTGCATAGACCTCTCACAACTAAGAATGAGCACTTCTCAGAATTGAAATGGCTTTTATTAAAATAACTGCAAATGGAAATTGATAAAATGGTAGAGGTGGTGTAGGATATCCTCATACAGAAATAGGACTTGAAGTTTACGACCCCCACTCCAATCTAAATTAAATGGTTTTAAAGCAGATTTCCGACACATTTATTGAAAAACTTTGTCCTAGGCAAGGATACCAACTTAAAAATTTCAGGAAAGCTCTTAGTATAGAGTCCAGGGACTAGATATTAATAGTCTTGCAGCAAATTGAGAGCCAAAATTTCTGGTTGTGCTTTTTTCCTTTTGATGTTTGATACAGTAAGGTTAAGTATAATGGTCTAGGGAAAAAAATAATCACTGCACTTGGAGTTCAACTCCTAAAACAGTATCCTGGAATGTCTAAGAAGATGATATTCTGAAAGAAATAAGAAACATATACAATGGAGCCATTTTGCAAACCATTAGAGCAGGAGTCTTTTATGTTAACTGAGTTCTCATTTGTATAAAACTTGGGAGTGTGTTAGAGAATCAGAAGAATGCATAAGAATAAATAAAAGATAACTAAAGCAATAAATTTTTAAGAGCCTTAATTATGCACCTAAATTTGGTATTCAAGGCTCAGGTAAAGTCTGAATAAAAGTCTAGGGAAACTGGATAAACTACTAGAACAGTCAGGGCTGAGAAACAGTAAGGCTTCTCTTACGCAACATTTCTCTCAATTGTCACTTCCTTCCCATTTTGAGAAAAGTTTCTTTTATTTAAAAAAAAAAATTTTTTTTTTTAACGTTTATTTATTTTTGGGACAGAGAGAGACAGAGCATGAACAGGGGAGGGGCAGAGAGAGAGGGAGACACAGAATCGGAAACAGGCTCCAGGCTCTGAGCCATCAGCGCAGAGCCTGACGCGGGGCTCGAACTTACGGACAGCGAGATCGTGACCTGGCTGAAGTCGGACGCTTAACCGACTGCGCCACCCAGGCGCCCCGAGAAAAGTTTCTTTTAGAAAGAATGAGGAGGACTCTATACAATATACTTTAGAGGACAATTTAAAACTGAAGGCATTGTTGTATCGATTGTCATAGGCATTATTTACACTCATTAACTTATCCTCAAATACGCCTGCAACTTCTGAAAAAAGTGTTTACATGTTTTAATGCCTTTGCTCAGTCTACCTAATAATACTACTTTTCTTCTTAGAAAAACAAATTTCATATACATAACGTCCTCTGTATTAAATCAATGAGCTAAAGATCAACACTCTTGCCAACTACCATCATCTCAGAGTGATGGCTCCCAGTCTAGAACGGTTGCTGAAGAAATGGAAAATATTCAAAAAATAATGGGGCCAATCACAAATTTCTCACTAGTCATCTCTTCTAAAAATAAACAAAACAGCATTTCTAGATAAATACATACAACAAAACATCAATGCAAATATTCAGAAACCATCCTGCCGAAACATTGTGCTTTTCCCTTCAAATCTCAGTCTCACTATTGCACATACCTCCTGCAGATGAGGGCTCGGGCTCAATGCGTAAGTTCTGCTCTTTTCAAAACCACCAACCATTCAGGAAAAAATTAAAAGGAGTATCAAAGTAAACGTGCAAATAAAACTGTTGCTTAAAGCATGTTCAAAACATCAAGTCCCTAAGACAAAGGAGTTTTCACTTGTTGGCAGAAAAACAGCCAAGTAACTATACCTGGTTCTTCCACTTGTCATTAATAAGATCTAACTTGGCTAGCACATCCACACAAACCGAAGACAGACAAAGACTGCACACCAACAAAAATTACCACATATTAAATCGTGTTTCCCATTCTTCAGTTTTTAACTGTGTTTCCTTTTTTTGGGGCAATAATCAGGTAGGTAGAAAATAAGTTATCGACATACTTTTTCAAGTAACAGTCTGGGGATCTTCAGCCTCACAAGACAGGTACAACTGTTTTAAGCTGCACCTATTAGAGCACCTAGCATTCAATCTGAGAGCTTGGCACTCTTCGCATGTTCAGGGCGTGCCGATGTATTTCTTGCATCTGTCTGATGCGGTCCTTCTGCCACATTAAGTTTTGAGGCATAGGATATCTCTGTGTGCCATGCAAGTACCGGTACGGGATCCTCACGTGGCAAGCAGTGGCTCTACAACGAGGCTGTGGCATGGGAGGAAGAAGCATCCACCGCTTTCTTTCAGCACAATATCGGTAGGCTTCTTTCCGGTACTGTTTGTCGATATCATCGCTGTTTTTCCAGCCTCCAATAATGAAAACGTCATCTCTGTAATAGCAGATAGCCGCTCCTTCGATGCTTAGGACTTCGGGAGGTAAGCTCTCAAGGATCTCATCGGACACTTGGCTGGCAATTTTTCTTACTGCCTCTTCATTTTCTAAAGAATAACTCTTGGGACAGCATGATGCCGTCTGGTAAAAGTTTGAATTGACCACAGACATTTGGAAAAAACAGTAATTGTCAATAAGCGGCAAAGATTCCACATCTTGCCACTGTCGAGTCTCCGTATCATAGCAGGTAATTACAGCCTTTAACCCATCTTCGGTGTCCCGGTCCACGGGAGTGCGGGCAGCGATGTACACAAACCGGTCTTCGATGGCTAGTGCTTTGACATCCCGGAGGATCTTTGGTGCTGATTCCAAGTTGTGCCATTTATCAAGCTCAGGATTATAAACAGTCACGTCTTTGAAGCCAGGGCTGAAGTTGCCATGCCCTCCAATGCTGTAGAGCTTCCCTTTGACTTCTGTTAACCCAAAAGAATGCTTTCTTGTCATCAGACTACAAACATGTTCCCACGTATTCAAATTTGGGTTGTATCTTTCCACAGTTTTAGCAAACCCTGGTTCCATCGATCCAGCAACATACACGTAGGACTCTGTTACTGCAACGGCATGTCCATCAAGGTGATTATGAATATGGGGCAGGTTTACCCATCTGTCCTCATCGACAAAATACCCTACACATTCACTTAAATAATCCCCTCCTTCTGACACGCCTCCAATAACCATGATCACGTCCATGTTTTGCCCATAGCGAGGTAATAATGAGACATGAGAGGCAGGATGCTGGAAGGTGCCAGACTGTATGTTTTCAGCTCTCAGAGCATGCCTCTCCACTGCATCGGCCACTAACTTGACGCAAACTTCATTATTGGCCACCAGCCTCTCTGGTTTGACATGCCGAGTAAGGTAAGTAGGTTTCATCTGGGACAATCTGAGCAATTTAAAAAGTTCTTCAAAGTATCTCTCTCTCTCTTCAGCGTTTCTCTGAACCCACTTCAACACTGTTTCAAAGAGAACCTCTTCAGAATCAACCGTGATTTCCAAGTCCGACAGCCAGTCTCGAATGAGATGGAAAGGTAAAGTATAAAATTCTTCATCCTGAATTACTTTGTGGAAATTTCTCCGTATCATATCAGCAGCTTTCAGAGCAAGTTGGCTCAGAGTATACATGTGAGCTAAGCTATGAATGGCCACACAATTAGAGAGATGAAGTTTCTTCTTGAGAAATTCTCCACAGAATTCTTTTAAACGAATTAACAGGAACCTAAAATCAAGAAAAAAGAATTTTCAAATATGCACATTTTATGTGGCTGCATTTTGAAAACATGTTATACATGTTAACATGTTTATACAAACTGAAATGGTAAGCTTCATCTCATTTTATGCCCAACATCTGAAAAAGGGTAAATCCCCCCAAATTAAAAAGGATGATGCTGAAAAGCGTATTTATTTTTTAATAATTTTTTAAAGTTTATTTATTTTGAGAGAGAGGAGAGAGAGAACAAGCAGGAGAGGGGCAGAGACACAGGGGGACAAAGGATCTGAAGCAGGCTCTGTGCTGATAGCAGAGAGCCGAACGCGGGCCTCAAACTCATGAACCACAAGATCATGACCTGAGCTGAAGTCGGATGCCCAATTGACTGAGCCACCCAGGTGCCCCATTATGCTGAAAAGTATATTTAAAAGCATATATAAAGTCATCTTTTTATATATATATATATATATATATATATATATTTTAATTATGCATATTATATAATATATATACAACTATACATGATACATGTAACATACACACAGTGGTGCTTTTCATTATGTAAGTTTTTCTGGAACATATCCTTTAATAAAAAGTACAACAGTCAGAGAAAGAAATACCATAGGATTTCACACCTATGTGGAATTTAAGAAACAAAACAAACATGCAAAGGGGAAAAAAAGAGAGACAAACCAAGAAACGGACTCTTAACTACAGAGAACAAACTGGATGGTGGGGGGGTGGTGAAATGGGTGATGGAGATTGGGGAGTGTACACTTATTATGGTAAGCACTGGGTAATGTACAGACTTGTTGAATCACCATGTTATACACTTGAAGCTAATATAACACTGTATGTTAACTATACTGGAATTAAAATTAACTTAATAAGGGCACCTGGGTGGCTCAGGCAGTTAAGCGTCGGAATCTTGGTTTCAACTCAGGTCATGATCTCATAGTTTCTCAAGTTCGAGCCCTGCATCAGGCTCCGTGCGGAGCCTGCTTGAGATTCTTTTTCCCTGTCTCTCTGCCCCTTCCCCACTTGTGCTGTCTCTGTCTCTCTCAAAATCAATTAATAAACTTAAAAAAAAAATAAAAAATAAAGTACAATAGTTCCATACTTTATTTTTATTGGCAAAGGCAATTCCCAATCCAAACCTGTCTATGCTATTCCTGTCCTAATCCCTTGTCAGTCACCAGCCTTTTCTTTGAGGCAGGGTCTCAGCAAGATACTTTATTAAGCCTTGACTAGATGGTATAGGAACTGTGGTTCCTGGGAGACTCTGTCTGTTCAATATCAGAAGGAACAGCAGTGGAGGCCTTGTGTTGAAGGTTTCAATCTCCTCTTCACTAGAGCTTTCTCCTTGGGCAGCAGATGATGGGGGGAGGGGATGGCAAGGCAAACTCAAACAACAGTAATGAACATATGGAAGGGGTCTGGCATGTTGCTGACTAGAAGTTGTCTGCCCTCCTAAATTCATTTGAAGTTAAATTACATACCACAAGTTTCAGCTAAATCCATAAATCTAGCAGAACTCAGTCCCAAGGATGGCCACTTTGAGACCACTGCTTTAACAAGAGTAAGTCCCCAGAACTGAGAACTTTAAACAAAATATGGACTTTATCAGTCCAGGCCTCTCAATTCAGGGCTCTCAATTCAACCATTTGTTATTACAGTTATCGCGCTTAGTACCCATCTAACTAGGATATAAAGATGAGTACGACAGGCTTCCTTCACCATCTTCAGGGAACATACCATCTTAGAAGACAAAGACAAGGTAGAGTGGTAAGAGCTCTAGTGACTCTCAAAGATGTCTGGGTGCCAGGGTCACTAGATTCCCAGGCTGCTCGCACCCCCTACCTGGAGCTCCTATCTTTGGCATGGCGCTCCAGATAATTCTGACATATTCCCTTGGATAGGGTGTTTAGAAACATTGCTCGATGACAATAATAGCTAACGTATACTAGGCATGTTCCATGTGCTAGGCACTTCCTATTATTTCCTTGTAAGTGCCCTTGAAGGTAGGTATGACCGACAGAGTACTCGGGCGGTAGGGAGAGAGCTCTTGCCTCAGAGCTCATGGGTAAGGTTAGATATGACGTTGCCAGGCACTTAGTGCCCATCACAAGGCAGCTGCTCAAGCAGCTGACAGATGGACAGAAGTTCAACTGCCTGAGATGTTCTCTCCTAACCCCCAACTCCCCTATAAAGCAGGAGCAAATCTGAAAAAGGAGCCCACGTGAGACACAAACATAGCTTGAGTGGGTGCAATGACCTTTCTCTACTCATTTTCATTCAACAAACCTCTCTCTCAAATCTATACCTGCCCCACCCTACCCCACCCTCTCATGAACGATCCAAACTTGGGCTATGAGAAAACAAGCAATCAGAAACTTCATCTTACCACCACCCAATGTGCCTGTAGCTTTACCCTATATTCTGCCTTCCCAGTCCAGCTTTTCCATTATTAATACTGATTCTATCCCCTTCTTGATTTCAAGGACTTTGCTCCTGCCAAGAATTCCCCCACTCCTGTAACATGAAGTTCTCCTCTTCCACTGATTCATTTTTCTTCAGCACACAAACAAGCTCTAGTATCTCCTATCTTACTTAGATGGGGGAAAAAGACCTCCCTGGACTCTTCTCCAAACATGTCCATGTGTACCATTATTCTGACCCTCTTTATACGAAGACTTAACTTAAATGGCTCCTGCTAATGCCATCAAGGGTCTCTATATTGCCAAATGCAGGGATCACTTACGGTTGACAGTTGACAGGATAGGCTACTCCCTCCTCTATACCTTTTTTGTTTGTTTTTTTTTAAGGCTTCCTGTGAGACCCATCTCTTCTACTGGTTCCTCTTTAACATTTTGGAACCCCAGGGCTCAATCCTGCCCCTTCTCTGTCTACACTCTCTTCCTAAGTAATTTTTCATCCAGTCCCATGGCTTTAATTACCATCTTATATGCCATATTCTTCCCAATGTTCTTACATCCAACTGCCTATTCAGACATTTCCTGGACCCAAACCAAACTCCTGGTCTTCCCAAACTTGCTTTCCTACACTCTCCCACATCTTAATAAATAACTCCATCTTTCCAATTGCTTGTATCAAAAACCAGCAGTCCTTTCCCTTACACTCTGTATCAAATCCATCAGCAAATTTGTCCCCTCTACCTTCCAAACATATCTAGAACTGAAGCACTTATCATCTTTACTTCTCCTTCTTCAATCCAAGCCTCTGTCACCATTCCATTCCAACAACCCCCTAATCTTTTTGCTTCTGCCTTTGCAGCCCCTTCCTCACTGCCCCATCCTTTATTCATCACAGCAGAATTCTTCAAATCACATTTCATTGTTCCTCTGCCCCAAACCTTCCTATTTCATTCAAAATAAGAGCTCAAGTCCTTCACCAGGCCAACAAGCCCTATGGAATCTGGATCCATCCCCCATCTCCACCCTGGGGCCTCTCCCACCCCTCTCAACCTGCACCCATTTGATCTAGCCATGCTGGCCTCCCGCTATTCTCAAACATCCAGATAAGCCCCACCTCAGGCCTTTCCACCTGTGTCCTCAACCTGAAACACTTTTTTTTTTTTTTTAACGTTTATTTATTTTTGAGACAGAGAGAGACAGAGCATGAACAGGGGAGGGTGAGAGAGAGAGGGAGACACAGAATCTGAAACGGGCTCCAGGCTCTGAGCTGTCAGCACAGAGCCCGACGCGGGGCTTGAACTCACGAACCATGAGATCATGACCTGAACCGAAGTCGGACACTTAACCGTGAGCCACCCAGGCGCCCCCTGAAACACTCTTTACCTCACCTCCTTCAGTTCTTTGCAAAATGTCTTCTTCATGAGGCATTCTCTATCTACCCAATTAAAAAACACAGCTCCTCTCTATGAGCACTTTCTATGCTGAATTTCTCATCAAAGCTGTAACAATCATCCAACACGCCATCTATTTTAATTATTTATTGCCCATCTACCAGTGTGAGCGCAACGAGGAAAGGGACTTTTGTCTGTTTTGTTCACCAGGAAGTCCCAGCACCTTAGAACCCAGTGTCTGATCTGATGCATTAACAGGCACTCAATAGGTATTTGTTAAAATCATGTTCCTGGTAATATAATACTGCCAAAAGGGAGTCCTCCACATCTCTAAAAATGGCATTCACCTGCCTCCTAACCAGTCTCTGAAGCATCCGTTCCTGCTCCGTACAATCCATTTTCCACTGTAGCAGAATCCTCTTTTAAAATAATGAAATCAGGGGCGCCTGGGTGGCTGGGTCCGTTCAGCATCTGACTTCGGCTCAGGTCATGATCTCGCGGTTGACGAGCTCAAGCCCTGTGTCAGGCTCTGTGCAGACAGCTCAAAGCCTGGAACCTGCTTCAGATTCTGTGTCTCCCTCTTTCTCTACCCCTCCCCCACTCATGCTCTGTCTCAAAAATAAATAAATATCAAAAATAAAATAAAATAAAATAGGGGCACCTGGGTGGCTCAGTTGGTTGGGTGACCGACTTTGGCTCAGGTCATGATCTAGCAGTTTGTGAGTTCGAGCCCGGTGGCGGGCTCTGTGCTGACAGCTCAGAGCCTGGAGCCTGCTTCGGATTCTGTGTCTCCTCCTCTCTCTACCTCTCCCCTGCTCACACTCTTGTGTCTCTCTGTCTCTCAATAATAAATAAACGTTAAAAAAATAAAAAATAAAATAAAATAATGAAATCAGGAAGTTTCTTTACTCAGCTTCCCACCTCACAGTAAAAACCAAATTCCTTATTCCAGCGCATTTCGCAAACCCTTCACCCATTAGACCCAGCTCCATTGGGTATTTCCTTTAGTTCTTTAAGCCGAACTGGATCCTGACTGAGGGCCTTGGCGCTCTCTGCCTGGAATGTTCATCCCCCATCTCTGCATGGCCAGTTCTTTCTTGCCGTTTAGAGATCGGTCTAAACGTCACCTCCTCAGAAAGGTCTCTCCTCTACCAATCACTGTCCTTTCATCCTTTTTAAATGTCAACACAGCGCTGATTACAGGCAGACTTTCTTTTTCACTGCCTTTGTCCCTCCACCTGGAATCTGAGCTCCCTAAGCGCAGGGCGCCCTCGTCAGACCGGCCGCATCCTCGGTGCCCAGCGCAGTGGCCGCCCCACAGCACACAGTAGACGCTCAACAAGCCGCAAACAAACGCATCTCGTACGGGCTCCCTCGAGTCCCACCCGCAGGCCCTGCCTCCCCGCCTCCCCCGCCCCCTCCCGGGATGCGGCCCTCGGTGGGCGAGCCTCTCCGCCGCCCGGCGCGCGGCCCCCAGCAATTCGCCTACCTGTCGGCCAACTCCAGCACCTCGTGCACGCTGCCCGTGCTGACGCGGATGCGCCCGGTGTACATGTATTCGATAACGGCTTCCACCGTGTCGGGCTCGGGCCCGGGCTCCGAGCTCCACTTGCGCATCTCCACCCTGCCCGAGCGGGACTCCGAGAACTGGCCCGAGAGCAGGGGCGTGAAGTATTCGGTGGCGGCGGCCAGCACCGAGCGGTGGGCCCGGAACTCTCGGCCGCCCGCGCCGCCGAAGCACAAGGTAATGTCGCAGAAGAGGCCTTGGCGCCGCTGCTCGTTCTGCCTCCACGACAGCTCCGAGCAGTGAGAGCTGCACTCGAAATCCTCGGCCTCCGGGCCCGGATCGCCCCCGCTCGCTTCCATTGCAGATATGCCGGGCCCAGACCCGAAGTCCACCGTGCCGCTGCCTCGGACTTCGGCGGCCAGTCCTGCCGATCCGGCGGCGGCCGTCTCCATGCTCTCCATCTCCAGCACCTGAAGAGATGCGGCCGCTGCCGCCGCCGCTGCCGCCGCCACCGCCGCCGCCGCCATCTTGACGCCGCCGCGCCCGACCTCCGCAGTCTCGGAACGATTCAGCCGTTCTGGTGCGACACAGAGGAATTCTGGGAATAAATAGTGGGCGCAGGGCGGAGCTGGGCGCCGCTAGTGTGCGCACGCGCGGCCGCTCCCGCCCGGAGCCGCGCCACCTAGGAGAGAGCTGGAGAGGGCTGGGTAGGGCAGGGTAGGGCTGCCCCCCACCCCCTTCCTCGACGACCTCCCTCCCACGTGTCGTTGTCTCCTTCCCGTCAGAGTGGCACGCTCTTCGTGGTCATTTTGTAGGACAAAAGCCACCCTGGCCCGTCACCCATTGTTAGTGTCTCGGGTGGCGACAGTGTATTTTTAAAGATTTAAAATGGCTTTGGAGTAAACATGAAAAAAAACCTTAAGACCGAGCCCCCGCTCAGTGGACGAGGGCGAGCAAGTTAACTCAGTATCTCGGAACCAATTCATCTTCTACAAATAGGATAGTATCTGTTAGGAGAACGCTTAGGGATGCTTGTGTTTTACATAATGTTTGGTCCGTAGTTACTGTTGCAAACATACTTGTTTAAAAGATGAATAAAAGTCACTTTGGGGTTTTATTAAGTAAGGGAGTGGCTCCATTAGATGCATGCTTTAAAATATCACTGGTGGCTAAAGAAATAATGAAAAAGTGGAAGTAGGAGCATTAGTTAGCATATAGATAGATCAGAGGGATAATGAAAGGCTGAATCCGTAAGATGGGACAACCAGAGAAGTGGAAGAGAGGAGGACTCTTGAGCTTTTGGCTTAAGCATCTGGGTTACAGCTTTGTTCCTATTCACTGAAAATGGAGAGGTACCGATTCAAGGGAGAAGACAGGGTTGTTTTTTTGTTTTTTTCCCAACATTTTTAATAAGTTTATTTTTTTAGTAATCTCTATACCCAACATGGGGCTCGAACCCACGAACCCAAGATCCAGTTGCATGCTCCACCTACTGAGCCAGCCAGGGCCCCCCTGAGCAGGGGGGTTGAAGTTAGTGTTTTGATGAGTTCTGTGTGTGTGTGTGTGTGTGTGTGTGTGTGTGTGTGTGTGTAGAGATGGATGAACATTTTTAAAATGACATGTAGTGAAACAATTAGCACCGTTCAAAGGAATGGAGAGGAAAGGATATGGATGGCATGAGACAGTAGTGTGTCTTTATTGTTACTATATAGTTTATTGAAACCAAACTGATAATACAGAGAAGAGACTGAGCTGGCAGCTGCCAGAATCTTGCTGGATTATAGATGCAAACTGGCTGGAGACGAGTCCTTGAACCCAGACTTCATTAGCAAACTGATAAATCAGTTGCATAAATACAGAGGACATAGAACACGAAACATTTCACAGCTTTTTTTTTTTTTTTTTGCTTTGCGTTTCCATTTTAAACATATGTATGTTACAACTTTACATTTTAAATTACTACTCCACATGTTTTGTGACAATGGCTAAGGATGCAACGTCCCATCCCCCTGACGTAAACAGAGTTTGGTCTGCAACATAGAACATTACAGTGAGATACCAAACAAACCCTTAACACATAACATACAAAAAGATCTTTAAAAATCAGATTAACACAATGTTCTTCAGGTTATATGAGGAGGAAAGGAAAGTGGGAAAATAAGACATTAGGGATGCTTTAAACTGATAGTAACTTGAGGTCTTAAAAGTTTCATTCTCTTCCTCCAAGGGAAAAAAATTTTAACTAAAGGAAAAAAGAAAGCAACATCATAACACCCTACAATGAGGAACACTATCCTTACAGTGCTTAGATGCTTCCATATAATAAATACAGCAGGTAGCAGAGCAAAGGTCACAAGTATTGGCTTGGTTTATTTCTATGCTTATAAAAAAAGTACTAAGCTTCCTGGTGTGGAATGAACAGTGTTAGCCTGTGGGTGTCATCAGTGCCTGTACACCAGCAGCTGTTTACATTCCAGGTCCATTTTCTAGCAAGCTCCAGTGCCAGCCGTGTGCACGCTACTTCCCAGGGGATGAGCTCTTGTCTTCACTTCACTGACATATGGTTCCGGGCTCAGTTACATGCTCATATGTTCCGGAAGAACATATGAAATATCATCCCAAGGGTGACGATACAGCCCCTGCTTCAGCCTCTTCTGATCGAGATAGTGTCCTGAAATGGGGCAAAGGCATCTTTTTGTTAAGAGTTGGTTGAGTAGTCGGGGGCGCCAGGGTGGCTCCAACTTAGGAGCCTTAGGAACTTAGGAGGCTTAGGCCTCCAACTTCGCCTCAGGTCATGATCTCGCGGTTCCTGAGTTCGAGCCCCACGTCAGGCTCTGTGCTGACCGCTCGGAGCCTGGAGCCTGCTTCAGATTCCGTGTCTCCCTCTCTCTCTCTGCCCCTCCCCCGCCCGCACTCTGTCTCTCTTTCTCTCTCTCTCTTTCAAAATAAACAAACAAACAAAAAGAGAGTTGGTGAGCGATCTGCTAAAAGTTTGGCAAGGGGGAGAAGATGAGGACAGAAAATCTAATACAAAAAAAATGAGGAAGTAAATCCAGATCCACCACACAAGCGGATACCAGCCTGGCTAAAAGGCAACTGTGGGATTTCATTGTTTTCCTGGACTAGCAATCAGCCATTTCCAAGAACAAAGGAACCATGGAATGAATATAAAGGGGGAAGTTAAAGTAAGAAAGGAAGGATTAGAAACGATGAAGATCATGTGACATCTTCCTAGTAGAAACTTGCCTCCCAGGTGTTACAGCTGAACCATGGGGGGGGGGGGGTACCAAACCGAACTCTTAATAACAACAACTACCAACTCACCAATGAAGCCCATACTCCTTCCCAGCACAAAGATGCCATTGAGGGCTCCAATGTCAATATATTCATCAGCTTCCTCCCTGCAAACACACAATCAACCTGTGGTTTTAAAACGGCTCACATGACCCCCCCCTCCTCCCCACAAACAGTACGACTTCTGCCCAGGAACGAGAAAGTAGATCTCTTTGGTATCAAAGGAGAAAAAGGGTGCTCTGGGTGGTAGGACTACAGACAATTTTTGTTTTCTTCTTTATACCTCTCCATACTTTCTAAATCCTCTGTAATGAGCATGTATTGCTTTCAGAACTGGAAGGAAACCGCAAGCAAGCATCAATAAATGTAAAGAAGAAGAAAATGGGTGGCTTAATCGAAGTGTCCAACTTCAGCTCATGTCGTGATCTCACAGTTTGTGAGTCTGAGTCACACATCAGGCTCTGCTTGGAGTGTTGTCTCCTTCTCTCTCTCTCTCTCTCTCTCTCTCTCTCTCTCTCCCCCTCTCCCTCTCCCTCTCCCTCTCTCTGCCTCTGTCCAACACGCTCAATGTCTGTCCGTCTCTTATTTAAATAAATAAATAAATAAATAAATAAATAAATAAATAAATAAATAAATAAA